TTGAATCTCGACTTGAAAAGAGGTTCGACTGTAAAGTATTTTAAAATGGGCGAATGTCTTCAAGTCTTGGTGCTTTATTCCCCGCGGAAAGCGAAAGACGGGAGTTTGACTGAGAGCCAACCCGGGCTAGCAATTAAAATCCAATCGCAATTAAAACCTAAACAAAGTTATGCGTTAATAGTCTGGATGGCAATCAAGTGAGATCACCGTCTCTCCAGCCGCCTTATCGCTCATCGCGCCAAGACCCAACGCAGATGCGATGAGTCTAGTTCCTCTCAACCAAATGTTCCACAGATCGAAACAAGTAGGCGACACAGGGAAAATAAAATTAAAATTAAAAAAGAGAAGAGAAAATTGATTAATAAATGACTGACGTCGGGGAATATGGTGACGATCAAGTGACAGGAGCTCTCGCCCTCGGAGCTTCACGAAATTAATTACAGGCTGCTCTTATTGCCTCCCCATACCGCGTGCTGATTAAGTTCGCGCTCGATGCTATCCTGTCTCTTTTTTTTTACCAGGGGCTGTGCAATAAGAAAGCCCATTCGATATCCTGAATTTGTATTCCAATTGATTTTTCCGTATATTTGCGAGCTATGGATTCCAGCGTTTCATCTTGAGTATGGAGTACATGTACTGTACAGTGAGACCCCCACATGCGGACGCCTCAACATGAGGACAATTTGATGTAGGGGCATTTACTTTTCAATGAAAAGAACAGAAAAAGGGCCGAACATGCGGACACTGACTTGACATGAGGACATTGCATCATAAAATTGCCAATAAATGTTTTTAAAAAATTGAATTTTATTTGGCTTGATTGCAAGAAACAGATATTTTCAACCCTAAGATTTATGCAAGAAAAATTCTTTCATTTCTCTCATCATTTCCCCATCCATTCAGCTAATAAAAAAATATATACTGTATACCAATTGCATAGAGGGACTTCCTTCTCTCTTTGTGACTTGAATGTTATTTTTGTAGATGCCAACATTTCAATGTGCAGTACAGAGATACACTATCCAATGCTCCAAATGCTCTTATTGAGTTGAAAATATATTCACTGAATCAAATTTAAGTGGCAAACAATTTTTTCATGGATTTCTGATGAATATTTCTTCCATAAAGCATCAATTGAAAATTAAATAACATAAGTCTATGGGAAAACAAGACTTGACTTGGGGACAATTCAACTTAGGGACACTCTTGAGTCTTGATGCACCAATTACATCCACATCTGAGGGTCTCACTGTATTTCCTTTTCTTCAAGGGACAATTTTCCCCTGAATCTTGCCGTATTTCTCAGTAAAAATAAAAACTCAATTATGTTTTCAAAAACAGTTGCAAAACCGTGTTTTCAAAAACTGCTTAGATTCTCTACCAGAAACAAAGTCTCTTTAGTACAGTACGTGTTTTAAATAAATCAAAGGTGCTGTAGTTCAATGTCGGTGTATTTCTTCTTATCCCGCCGCATCTTTTTCCATGATAAACATTTTCGTGGCATGCGAGGTACGAAATTCCTGTAAATTCTGAGAGGTCCTTTGAAGTCTTTTTTCGGTTTGATCCGTGGGTTTTTTGCCAGAGGACGATTCTCATGCCATTGATGGGATTCATTCTGATGTCACTTGTGCCGTGACGAGTTGGGCTTTGAGAAATGCCAGACGGGTGTGTGATAATCATAAGATAATAGACAAGAAGTGTATCCCACAACATTTAGTGGGAAATTGACACTTTCTGCTTATAGGAAGCGGAGGAACAAGAAACGATTTCAAAGCTGGTCAGCTTCTTTTATATGACTCCTTGTTATTCGAAAAATAAAAAAAATGTTCGAGGCATGCAAATCAGGGAAGCCTCGTGAATTAAAAAAGGGCCTTTCGGCAGCCCGGCGAAACTTCGTTTTTTTTCAGGGAGTGGATTAGTGCTTGCGGGTTTGTTAATTTGTTGCCAGAGGATACTTCTCATGGCATTGGATGGGATTCGTTCTGAAGTCACTTGTGTCATGATGACGAGTTGGGACTCGAGAAATGCCAGACGGGTGCATGTGTGTGTGTGTGTGGTGGGGTGGGAAAGGAAGGAAAAAGAAATCTTCCCCCGCGATCAGGCGCCGGCAGACGTTAGCGGCGACACCGAGTTGGGGGGTCGACGGGGCGGGCGATGAACGCGATTCCTCGCTTCGTCGATTCGATTCGATCGTGTTTACTTTCGTCTGCTTCCCATCTCTCAATCTAAGCCCTAGTTGAGATTATCTGGTTCAATCCTCAAACCCGAATCCAACGGGAAAAAACAATACTGTATATACAGTGAGACCCCCACATGCTGCGGACACCTCAACCTACGGTCAATTCGACATAGGAACACTCATTTTCTCATGAAATTTTAATAGAAAAGGCCTGACTTGAGGACACTGGCTCAACATAGGGACATTGTGTGATAAAATTGCAAATACATTTTAGACCAAATTGCAAGAAAAATATATTTCCAACCCTAAAATTGATTTAAAACAAGTTCTTGGGCATTTCTCTCACCAATTTACCATCCATTTAGCTAATAAAAAAAATTACCACAAGCATAGAGGATCTTCCTTTTATGCTCTTTTTCACTTGAATGTTATTTTTACAGAGAATGCCTACATTTCTATGTACTGTGCAGAGGTATCAGTATTCAATTCCCCAAATGTCCATATTGTGCTGAAAATATATCAATTGGAATCAGTTTAAATTGGGAGACAATTTTTATTTTCTTGAAATTATGGTATTTGAACATAAAACACCAATTAAAAATTACATAATGTAAGTCTAAGGGAAAATGAGACTTGATGAACGCGATTCCTCGCTTCGTCGATTCGATTCGATCGTGTTTACTTTCGTCTGCTTCCCATCTCTCAATCTAAGCCCTAGTTGAGATTATCTGGTTCAATCCTCAAACCCGAATCCAACGGGAAAAACAATACTGTATATACAGTCGTCCGCAGCATGCTGCGGACACCTCAACCTACGGTCAATTCGACATAGGAACACTCATTTTCTCATAAAAATTCAATAGAAAAGGCCCGACTTGAGGACACTGGCTCAACATAGGGACATTTTTTTTATAAAATTGCAAATACATTTTAGACCAAAATGCAAGAAACAGATATTTCCAACCCTAAAATTTATGTAAAACAAGTTCTTGGACATTTCTCTCGCCAATTTACCATACATTTAGCTACTTAAAAAAAATACCTTTAGCATAAAGGATATTCCTTTTCTGCTCTTTTTCACTTGAATGTCATCTTTACAGAGAATGCCAACATCTCTATGTAGTGTACAGAGGTATCAGTACTCAATTCCACAAATGTCCATATTGTGCTGAAATATATTAATTGGAATCAGTTTAAATTGGGAGATAATTTTTATTTTCATGAAATTATGGTATTTTGAACATAAAACACCAATTAAAAATTACATAATGTAAGTCCAAGGAAAAATGAGACTTGACTTAGGGACACTCTTGATGCACCAATCACGTCCGCATCTCAGGATCTTGCTGTATATAGTATTTTTGAAGTTTGTGAGTGGGGGGTTATTTTTACGCGACTCTTGACATTCTGCAAAATTCTCTCCGCACTTGAATGATGAATGACGATCCGCATATTTTTGGGCGCTTGAGGTATTGAGTTGCGAGTCGTCTTGAAAGATTATACGGTACTTTTCATTTCGCCTTTTGAGAACCCTGGTTCGTCTTCGACAAAACCATTGCGCAATGATGCACATGTGTAACTATTTTACAATGCTTCGATATCCGGATCCAAGTGCTTCAAATCCGAAAGGTCCAAAAATGAAGCATTACTCGGGGATGGTGGAATGACCTAGTACTTCCAACACTGGATTTCTGCCGTCAGGCCTATCCTGGAACAAACTCGTCAAAAAAATCTTCCAGCACTTCGAAACTGGACCAACCTGGTACAGCAAAAAATGTCTCAAGTCCCAACATCTTGGGTAATACATAAAGCCAAGGTTATTTCTGACAACCATATTCCGGGACGAGTTTAATTCGCGACAAGATTATTCCAGGCTGACGAGGTTGGGCCTGACAACGTTATTGCAGCAACCCGAAATTAGAATAGAAAAGTTTGTTGCAAAGCTGAAAAATGTATGCCTAAATTGTAAAAATGATGAAGATATGTTTTAAGTGATGATGAGGGGTTCTGATTTTTTTTCACCCGGAAGGGAGTAAATCTCCGCAAGCGCTCTCAAAAAATAAACTTTTGTTATAGATCCACATTTTTGTCCATGTGTCAAGAGATCCATGGTTGATGTAAGTGAGTCATGTTTCGAATCAGGAGAGAGGGAATTTTTTTTGATTAGACCAAGGACTATTCACACCCACCAGGTTCACGACTCGGTCTCGGTAGTGAAAACCGAGCTCCAGACCCTTCACATTTAGGGACTGCGCAACGATAAGTAGTGTTCGGAAAAAGTAGCAATCCAGAGGAGTAAAACAGCGACCTTAGCCCATATAATTCATAGAAAAAAAGCGTCTTTTCAAAGATTTTCTCTTTTTTTTTTCGAACAAAAAAATCGGGTGCGGGAACCTTTGCTGGGCTATATGATCAATCTCTTCACTTCCTGATTCTCGAACTCATCGAAAGAGTTCGCAAATGCTGCGTAGTAACTGAAAGTGGCAATGACTTCGATGCTCGTTGCAATTTCCGCTTGCTGGTATTCAAATCTGCCGGAAACCCGTTAGGACTGGAAAAATGTATTCTTACACAAATTCTTTGTTTAATTTTCTTCTTTACAAACAAAATATTTCGAGCAAAAGAAGTCTAGGAATGATGATCAAATCGTGCAATTAGCTTAATGGAAAAATTAATGTAATAAAGTCGCATAAAAAGATTCAATGTTCATCAAATTACAATTGATTTTCTTAAAGTCGAAGTTGAAGCGACACCAACAAATTTGACGGGATTTTTTGGGATAAGGACTTCGGGATGATTTGCGTACGTCAATCAATGGAATTGTTTTTTTTTGCCACATTATTTGCTGTTCGTTATCCGTAAAGTCATACCTGCAATTTTTGCGGAACGATAGGGTAAAAAATGATTTGCATTTGGTCTTTTCTTCCTGGAAGATGCGCTCCAAAATGTAGCCACAATTTAATGAAAAAAAAAAAAACGAATGAATTTTTTTTATCGAGGGAGGTTTTACAAAAAATATACGAATTCGGTTTGTTTAACTTGCATTGGACTGGAGGAGATTGGTGAGGGAATAACTTGAAGTTCGAATTGGGGAGGGGTTTGAGACTTGCACATAGAGGTTCTAGTTGACGGGCTCTAACTTTTGTGGAGATTGATAATATCCCTTTCCCTCATTTTCGTTAAAAAAATAATAACCTTCCCGAGCAAAAGCTTAGCAAGCAAAAAAAAAACCGTCATCTGCTCATGAACGGAGCCAAGGGGAGCCATGAACCACGGGCCCAAGGAACACACAGCGCACGTGGGGCTGATACAAGTCCGCGCACGAGATGCTCGAGCTCATCCTCGCTGTTTTTGCCTTCAGAATAAACACGTCATTTTCACGCCGGGGAACCAGTACTGTACTTTCTAAGTAGCTTTCTTTTGTTTGATGATTTTAATTCTCTCCCTGACTGAATTCCCATGAGGTTCGTTCGGAAACTACCTTGCGCCGGAACCAGTTTTTTTTTTTCTTTTGTTTCGGTGCATTTGAATTGAGATATATTTAAATTCTATATTTTCAGCGCGTGACACGATCACAATTTCGGAAAGCGAAATGGTTTTTTTTATTTAGTCATTCTGAAAGTATGAGGGGCCATTTCTTTGCTTCTATAGTTCGAATTAGCTCTGACTGATTGTCATAAATCGAATCCACGAGAGTTGTTCGGAAAATGTATTTGCGAAAAACACAGGGTTTTCAGCTGTTCTTGTTGCATTTGCATTCGGCGACGGTTGATTACATATTTGAAGTCCTTGACACGTTCACGATTTGTAAATTAAAAATGGCTTTTATGAAGTGTCATGTATGCAAGCATTAGGTTTTTTGTTTTGTTTTATAATATGAAATGTCTCTTAGTCACATCCGTCAAAAACGAATTCGAGAAAACGACTTCTTTCCTTTATTTTTAGTGTGAATGTGGCAAATTATGCGTTTGGAGTCCATAACCTGAATACAAGTTCAGTATGATGCATTGATTTTTTTAAACAGCGAGTCATGCAAGCAGTTTCAAATGCGAATAATTGAGAAATATCATCAAACCAATCGAAGTTGCTGATTCCTCCCCATTTTTCTTATATTTTCAGGAAATGCGAGCATCCCTTGAACCGAGTCTACGATGAAGAATACCATGAATATTTATATCCTCATACGATGAAGCACTTCAACACGGAAATCCAAGCTTAATTTTATTTCATTTGTATTCTTCATCAAACGTGAAACAACCAAAATTTCCGAATAAAATGGATTCGTCGTTGTTGTTATAAACCGTATCACATTCTTTTTTATTCATATTGCGTTTTCCCCGCGATTTTTGCTCTTGAAACATTTAAATTCAGTCGGCGGATTTGTAGATGTATCAGCAAAATTCTAATAATTCAGATCAGATTGAGATGCACCTGCCAATATTTCTATAAACATGTCAAGTCTTATTAGGGAAGAATTAACGAAACATTTAGGCATTTTTTTGGCAACTTACTTAACTAAAAAGCCCTCCAATCATTAATTTTCAGCGGCCGCAAAGAACCGAGGACTTCGTCATGTCATTGTGCAATATTGAATATGCACCACTCTTTTCAATTTCTTCTCTACATGTCTGATGAAGAAAGTATGATTTTCGACATGCATTTAAAATTATATTTCATTAGTTGATGACTCGCATGGAGATATTTGACGGAAATAATGAATGAAGATGGGTATCTTGCCTCATCGCTCGAGCTATCTTTTCATACTCGTTTAAAATTAGGTTTACCGGCGTTTCTTGCCATAAATCCGAACTTTAAGTGCATGTCCTTTCGTCGAATAGATCCTACGATAGAGGCCTCCTCAATGTATCTTTCACTGCTGCACGCCGACAAAGACGTATCAATCTCGAAGGTCTCTATAGATTAATTACCGTGATGCCCGTTTATGTGCATCATCATCATCATCAGCATCATCATCATCCTCATAATCCAGAATCGGGGAGAGATAGTTTTAAGAATTAGTCCCCCTTGGAAGAAAGGCAGGCGACAAGGTACTGAGATGAAATCCGGTCTTGCGTGATCCGGCGAGTGCGCCAACCAAGCACCACGCGCGACACGTGACAAAGAAAAGGCCGCAGGATGTTGCTCCAAGTTTATTTCGTTCCTTCTTTTTCTCTTCAATTCGTACTCGAAAAGGTTTTCTATTTGATTTACTTCCACTGTTTCCTTGGTCTTCTTTTTTTATCTTTTCGTTCAAGCCAAACCAAGCGCTCATGCTTCGTGCAAGCTTGGTTGGGAAATCCTCCGGCGCATGCACAAGTTCCTTCTAGCTTGCGGTTCGCCAAGCTCCACTCTTTCGGGAAGGCGGACAATTCCTTTTCTTTGAATAACAAAACAAAGTAACATTTCCGAACCGAACTGAAGAGCTTTTAGATAAGCTAAAGAAGATTTATCCTTAAACATTTTCCGGATTAAATTTTTGCGTGATTATATACATAGCCCCTGGGCGTGACGAGTTTCTCTTTATGATTGATATCAGGCCGAAATCATGCCTGAAGATCTGTACATTTTACCTTCTAAAAAGTGTTTGTGATGGCCTTTCATTCGATTTTCCAAATATTGTTTCACATACGCTGCTGGCATAAATTTATAATGTATGTCACTCACTGATCGCTCTGTCGTCTTGGCGTTTTCACGGTAAAAAAAAATATTTTTCTCACTTTTACAAAAATCGAAACAAAATTGCCAGATCTCGCACTCTTGCCGTCTGAGAAAGAGACCTGCCATGCCAAAAAAAATCCTGGTTTATTTTTGGGACAATCAAAGCGACAACAACCAAAAATCGGTCTGAATTCTTGAGAAATATGCTGCCTTTTGTTTTGGCGAACAGAACAGGAGAAACCATTGATCGCAGGAGATTGAACAAAAATTCCTGTTTTTCTTCTAAATGTTCTATTATCTCGAATGTCGGCCGCAGAAATGTGACTGAAGTGCGGCCTTTTCCACAAATGATTAGCGTTTCGTTCGCACTCTACTTTCATGGGTGTGCTGCGGCCTATTCGCTTGAATGAATTCTCCAAATGCTTATTCGTTGCGCAGACACACGCTCTAATTCAGAATTTCGTATGACAAAACAAGTACCAGACATTAAAACAAACTATAAATGACGTTTTCGCAAAGCGTCACTCGCTCTATAGCCGATGCGTCTGTCTAGACTGAGCTACTCTCGATTTGCTATATGCAGAAAATTCCGCGATGAAATCAGCGATGAACTTGAAATAATGTTCGAGTTTTTTCGCTGGCTCAGAAAAAAAGGTAGCCCACCGAACAAAAATACGTTTCATAAAATGGCGAAATCTTTAATTACCTGGCGGTGGGTTCCATTGATGAAAGGCAGCAGAGGCAACACCAGCAAAAATTGCGCCAAAAAAAAAAGAACTAGAGGAAACGACGAAAGAACTGATGCCCGTCGTCTTATTGCGGCTTCCGCGGCAAGTGTCGTCTCGCGCCAATTTTTATTCTCTCCGTCGCTGTGCACTTTTTTTTTTCAAAGATAGACATTCGGAAAGAATTTGATTAAAAAAGGAGAAACGTGGAATACAAAGGTTGGGGGAGGGGGGAGGGGAGGAGGAGAGAGAGAGAGAGGGGGAAATTGCGGTTTCAAAAGAGAAAAAAATAGTTTTGAGAGAAAGAGAGAGAGAGAGATGGAGGGCAAACAGGTCGGCGGCACGCTTTTGCGCATTACGTCTGCAAAGGCTCCGCCACTTAACGACCTGTTTTGCCACGGGGGCCTTCTTCCGTGTTATCTCCCCCGCGGCGCGGCGCGCATTTGTTCAATTTCGAGCCGCCGATCCAAAGAGTTTATTTATTCTTCCTGGCCTTAAACTCTTATTCCTTGTTTGCTCTTGGCCTCAAATTAGAGGGTTTGTCGGCATGGTTTTCCTTAAATTTTCCTCTCACCTATAAGACCAGCTGCTTTCGTATATGATGCACATTTTTCCATCGAAATGTCGGTTATATACGCGCCGTCAACTGCGGGTGAACGTCACTATTTGTCGCAATAAAGTCGCCGCGAAACGATCTCACTAACAGGATTTTTTTTTTTGCGGAAAAAATGTGCATCCGTTTTATTGAGGAACAGAAAGTTCATGCACATAATAATTTCCAAGAGGACAAGCAAGGAATTTTCAACTACGATCGTCTTATTTGTACTGTTCACTATTTTCAAGACATTGCGAGGTTTTCGCAACATAATTGACCGAGGTCTGTTCAGGTAAATCTCATGAAATTTCCATTTAAAATAAGCTTCCATGCGCAATTCATGGATTAAGATTTTTTTCAGTGCCCTAAGATTATTTTTTCGACACGTCGGTGTCTGGATCAAAATGTTAAAATTAACGGGGATATTTAATAAGAAGCTAAGAATGTTGCTGGAAAATTTTTTAATTGATGTCCTGAATTCGGCAGAATCATGTTTGAATATTGAAATTTCACGGTAACGATCTCATTTGGCATCACTAAAATAAAAATGAAGAAGACCAGAACGGGTTATTCATGGTAAAAGTGTGAAATCGTCATCGAAAAGAATTTTCACTTGTTTCAAGTATCCAATAGCACTTCGACTTCCATCGAATTCGTAAAAAAAAACTATGTGTGGTGAATAAACTTGAAAATTATGCACTTCAGACTCCGTCTAATTTAATATGGATCAGTCAAGATTGTAATACTTCGGCCCGGAAATTGAAATTTACGACCATTCGCATCCATCAAATATGACTTCGAGGATCCTCAGAAAATAATTAACTCATGGTCCAACCTTTTCACCTACAAAAATAATTTGAATGTAAAGTGTAACTGTGAAACATTTTGAAAATGATCCTAAATCACGTATGGTATTTTCTGCGCTTGAAGTCATGACATTGTTTCCAGGAGAGAAACGTGATTAAATATTTTGCTCTAGAGGGGGAAAAATGAATTCCACGTACATTCAGGTTGAACATGTCATACAAAAAGCAAAAACGAAAGTATATGAATAAAGGGCAGGATTTTTCGATCCAAGAATGACTTCAAGAAGCATCTAGCTTCAATTACAGTACTTGAATCTCAAACTTTATTGGCGTTAGCTCCAACAAAAATAAGCACAACACGATAAGAAAAAGTGCTTTGGTTATTTTTTTTTGTCGGTTGGAGAAGTTCTCGACTTTTTCTGTGTTTTTCCCCCCTTTCAAATAAAATCTGAACGTTTCATCTGAGCCCAAAACGGCAATCATCATCATCACCATCATCATCATCATTGAGAAAGCGACAGTACCACTCGGGAATTCTTGATCAATCTTCCCACCACGAAATAAGCGGTTCCTTGAAGACAAGAGCCCGTTTATTGCGATTCAAGTCTGGGCGCAATGCCATTTGAAAAACACAGGCAACTGCCATTTTGAAAGAGCGGGAGAGAGGAAAAAATGGAGTCTCTCTTCCGCATTATTTCCCAGAGCACGTATTCCACAAAGGGTGTCATTAGTCAACGGCTGTTACTTCGGATGTCGGTAAAACGGCGAGGATTTACAAAGGAAACGAGTCCCATTTCAAAGCCAATTTGATGACAGGTGATGATGGTCCGTTTTGAAATCCACTCCAATCATACTTCAATGGGAATAAAATGGCACGAGTAATTTTCAGTTGCGAAGCAGTGTGAGTCGTAAAGCGGCGTGAATAACTTTGAGGAAATGGATTCATTTTCAATTCTTTGAATTTTTATAGACTTTTGCGGACCTATTCCACGAACTTTTTCGACGCAAAAATGCATTACATTGAATTTGTGGGTTGTGACTGCAAACCTTTCAACGCAAAAAAAGGATGCAAATTATCCACTTTTGCTTTCCTTTGAATCACTTTGATCTTTTATTTGGTTCAGATAATTTTGATTTGAAAATGTATCCTGAATTACCGATTGCTGATGAATTCATTTTTTGCTCTGCTAAAGAAGGTTGATGCTCTTATAAAAATTTTAATGTTGGAAAGAGAATGATCTCAAAAATTTAATACATTTTTCAGGATAATATTTTCAAGTTATTCCTAGATTTATGTGGGGAATACCTGTGCTAAAAAAAATCATCGAAGGTCATCAAAATACTGTCTGGCCTGATTATTTCAATTTTCAAAAATTTTCAGAGGGATTATACCCTATTCTTTTCAAAATCCTTCAATGCTAATCCTATGATAGGACTGCAGAAACAGTGCGCAGGAAAATTGAAAATGAAATTT